AAAAAAAAAAACCGTCACGAATTAGAAGTACAAAACGAGAATTTGTAAAGAAGAATGTCGGAGGATTTCAATATAAGCCAAGCGGAGACTGGCTTTCCTTTGCTAAAGTAAGGAAACTTTGCTTCATTTGCTCCTATAAACAAACGTTGGTTTTCACGAGACTCACCGGCGCATGCGCAACACCGACATCTTACGTCATCCTCCCGGAGCTGCTTCCGTGTACAACTGTTGGCGCAAGCTAGATTAAAGTGATTATTACGTTTTGAATATGGTTATTTTTCTTACAAAAATGCATCGATTCGCTACAGGAGGCCTTTGTTCACCCCCCGGAGCCGTGTGAGGCAATTTTTATTATAGATGCATCCGCTTTATTTCACTTCTTTTGGACTGATGAACTGCAACACCCGCTGACTGCCATTAAACAGCTTGGAAAATCAAAGTAAATTGTTTATATAACTGCGATTGGATTCATCTGGAAGAAGGAAGTCATATACGCCTAGGATGGCTTGAGGGAGAGTTCTGCTTGAAAGAAGGCAGAGCCTCTGCGCACACCTCCTATGACGTAATCGTCAGGGACCAATGGTAGTACGAAGGTGTTTTGCAGCCGTAAAGAACTTTTGCGGAAAGTTCGCTTTGGCAAGCCATTTCGAACTCCCAAAAAGAACTTAATTTTGGCCGGATTTTGTTCTAAATGACGTCACATCAGTTCGTTCTTCGATTTCGTTTGAAGTATATCAGGGTCTTTAGTATTTCACTGGTTTACAGTCCACAGCAATCCATGCAACAGAGTTTGTCAACCTGCCTGATATAGACCAATGGACCATTCGAACAGAACTTGTTCAGACATTCCATCTGTGCTATTTGACATCTCACTGTTTTTCAGCGTCTCGCTCTATGTGCACCATGTTTTTAATACAGTGTGTCAAGCAGTTCAACTTTGCAAAACGTCATCAAGTTTACTGCATTCTGTTGCCATTTTGTTGTTTTCCATCCAACTGTTCTTTTTAAAGCAAGACTTTCTCCCCATGTGAACCATTCTCAGTGGTTTTGTTAGGCGTGTTGTTTGTAGTGGTTGCAAACTAAAAAAAAAAAACACGAACGTGAATACGTGATACTTCCGTCTTAAATTGACAATTTACATAATTACATAATTTAGTGGAACATTGATAGCACTATTATTATTATTAACTACAATAATTAACATTTATTTTTTATTAGTGATCTAGTACTGATAGACTCATGTTCAGTGATATGGAAATAATACAAACAAAGGCACTTTTATTTATTTTCAATACTTTATTATGTGAAATATTAATATTATTTTAATTACAGTCCCCGTTCCCTGGTGATGATGAAGAGGAGGTGTTTGACAGTATTGTTAACGATGAAGTTCGCTATCCAAGGTTCCTCTCCACAGAAGCAATTTCCATAATGAGAAGGGTATGTTTGGATGTGTCCTGCTATGGTTAAACCATTTTCCTAGACTACAGCTCATTTTATTGTTTACGGCAATCCTTAAAATCACAACACAGCTTTATTAGAAAAGACTGTTCCTTTTTGTAATGGCACTCTTATATTCTCAAATTAATTTACCAGCTAACTGTTCATAAGCTTTAAACTTTCTCTTACTTATCCAGTTGTTAAGGAGAAATCCAGAGCGGCGCCTTGGTGCAGGGGAACGAGATGCGGAGGAAGTGAAGAGGCATCCGTTTTTCAGAGTAGGCCATCTGTTTAACCTTTTTTTTTTTTTTACTTTCAGATGTCACTGAAAATCTCCTTACCACACATTTGTTTATTCTTCCTCAGAATATGGATTGGGCTGCACTGCTGGCAAAGAAGATCCGACCCCCATTTGTGCCGACCATCAAAGGCTGTGAAGATGTTAGTAACTTTGACGATGAATTCACCTCAGAGGCACCGATATTGACTCCACCTCGTGAGCCAAGGGTTCTGACAGTCAGCGAGCAGGAGATGTTTGCAGACTTTGACTACATCGCTGACTGGTGTTAACCCAGATCCTCATAAACCCTGTTCACACATGCTCAACACTGAACCAACCGAACAACTCCTTCTCTGTAGGACACATTGGAAAAGAAACTACTTTCCCTCTACGCTCTTATTGTGCCATTTAAAGGATTGGAAATAACCTGTTTTAAGAATCAAGAATGAAGTGGTTGAGTCTTGGAAGCTCAATGTGGCATCGTTTTATTGTCAGAGCACTTGGACACTGATTGGTGATCATTATAAACTTGTGAGGAATCAACAGGATCAACTGCAGCTTCCCTCTCCATTTTCCACACATTTTATCTGCTTTTAAAAGCAGAAATGTGCCTACTGTCTTCAGTTGCGTGTTGAAAATCCCAAAATCTGAAGAACTGAACCTGACCAAGACATCAAATTGCAAATTCTTCACTCCATAATAGGAGCATCTTACAAGATGAGCGAGCTCAAAGAGAGTTCTCTTGAATTATTTATTTTCTTGTATTCCCTCCAATGCCTTAAATTCTTTACAGGGCTTCCAAACAATAACTATGAGGTACAGAAAACCTACCAAAGCGTTCCTGCCAAATGTTCTTCTACCCATTTATTGGAATAAAAAAGACCTTGGCCAAGAGCACAGATAAATAAACTTGAATTTTATCAAGGCAAAATGAGTGAAAGCGGCAATTTAATTGATCTTTTGACAATTTCTTTTCATTTCTATAAAAGTATCCTTGTACTCTAATCATCAAAAGAAATGTAAGTTATAGTTTTATACTGTATTTTTAGAATATTAGCCATTTGGATCTGCTGTATGTTATGACAATGGTTGTACACATATATATGAATTGTAAGATTATCATTTTGGAGTGGGCAGCTCAAAGTTGAGAGCAATTCTGAACTTTTCATATGGAATGTAAAAATGTATATTCATGAAAACAAACAAAAAAAAAAGTATATTTTTGGCATGTGGTCATGCCAAACTGGCTGTATGTTTTATTAGTTGACATTTTTTAAAGAATATTTGTAGTCTGTAATTTTGCAACGATTTCTCACAATTTAGCCATTTTGTGGTTGTATATGTCAACATTAAACCACCTTTAATAGAAATGGTTTCGTAAGTCTGTGATCACCATTCCTACTTGTTCTACACATTTGTTCCTACAGTGAACTCACCCCTCTCTGAGCAAGCTTATGATGGACTCCTGCCAACAATTCCACTCAAGTGTATCACGAAACCTTCCTCAAATAACATTCTGTACACCAACTAACACCTGGTTTCTGTCTATTCCTCTTGGTCGAGCTTCAAGGAAGAATGTGCTCCAAGCAAACCAATAAAGACACCCCTAATATCAACTAAGTACGTTTACATGCACTTTTTAAGTTATACTTGAGTGGAAATAAAAATTGTCTGACACTAAATGGATGTTTGACGTTACTAAATCCACTTTAAATTAAGCCGAATACAGCGTTTTGGATGTAAACCCGATTCATCTTTGCCATAATTCTGACCCTATTGGCTTGCCATACCGAAAAACGTGTGTTTGATGCCATTTGGTTACGCCTTTTGCGCGAATATAACTGCACATTTAAACGTGTTAGTGGGCTCTCTGTTAAGAAATAAGACCTGATGGATTTACTACTGAGCGAAAATGTGATGTATGTAAATCTTACAACAGGTAGAAGATGACTGATGCACCTGTCTGGTCAAACCCGACGGTCAAGTTTTAGTACTCGCGTGTGTTTTTGTATTAGTGGCAGATGAAAACCGGTCTAGAGAATTTACTAATAAGCTGATTTTTTGCCGTTTCCTGCTGTGGGTGGCGTTTGATAAATTCTCAGTTAAAAAAAAGCAGAAGCAGTTTTGATGTTTGAGTCACCTCACCTGACTGAGGGGAAGAAGAAAAGAAAAGTTTTCGCTCTGCGGGTCTAACTGGTCCTGTATGGGTGTGTATGTGAGAGTCACTACATGAGTAATAAGGGTTTCCCATGGAAAGCAAGTTAGTTTTGCTCCTCTCCGTGAACTTTCATAACTCCCTCCTCTCTGTGTTCAAGATTAAGGTAATGTGTTTGAACAGCCTCCACCGCACAGTATCATAAACGTGAAATACTCCCACTGTGCTGTTCTTAAAGGAAACCAATTATTTGGTGCAAAATGGTATGTGAAACAGCACTGTGTTATCCAGCATGATTTGAGAACGTCCCAAAAAATCATCTTGTCCTTCAGTGGAAGCTAGAACGTCTGACCATTTGCACAAAACAGCTCACATGGTAAATGTCAAAATGTACTTATTTGATTAGTGACACTGAAAATTCTTAAATATTTATTTTTTTATGTCATAAGAAATGTTTTACAATAATAATAAAAAGGCATGCCATGACCCCTTTAAACTTTGTTTCCTGTTTTTATATTAGATTAAACCAGATTTTCAATCTGGACTTTTGAACTACAGTGATTCTATCTGATTTTCCTCTCTGATAGTCAGTGACCAGACGTTATCTTGGAAAATTGTCATAGAAATAGTAGGGTACATGCTCTCCAGGGGATAGTCAGGACATGGGACAGTTTTACAGACAGGAAGAGGAAAGGGAAGCTGGGAAATAGGTTGGAGAGGAGAGGCTCCGCCCTTCACTTTGCTGGTGCTTCAGAGAACCTTTTATCTGCAGAAAAGAAGTGAACCGAAATATAGGAGGGAATTTGGGTGTCACTGATAAAAGACTTTAAATTGGAGAAGAATAATTCAGACAATTTGACTGTCTTTTAGCACAGTCCTGTGGATTCCATCTATTTCAACACAACCCTGTTGAAAAAAACAGCAGATGCTGGTTAGGTATGTTTTGATGCTGGTTTAAACTGGTCCTTTGCTGGTTTATGCTGGTCCTTTGCTGGTTTAAACTGACATGACCAGCATAAACCAGCAAAAGGACCAGCATTCAGTGACCAGACGTTATCTTGGAAAATTGTCATAGAAATAGTAGGGTACATGCTCTCCAGGGGATAGTCAGGACATGGGACAGTTTTACAGACAGGAAGAGGAAAGGGAAGCTGGGAAATAGGTTGGAGAGGAGAGGCTCCGCCCTTCACTTTGCTGGTGCTTCAGAGAACCTTTTATCTGCAGAAAAGAAGTGAACCGAAATATAGGACGGAATTTGGGTGTCACTGATAAAAGACTTTAAATTGGAGAAGAAGAATTCAGACAATTTGACTGTCTTTTAGCACAGTCCTGTGGATTCCATCTATTTCAACACAACCCTGTTGAAAAAAACAGCAGATGCTGGTTAGGTATGTTTTGATGCTGGTTTAAACTGGTCCTTTGCTGGTTTATGCTGGTCCTTTGCTGGACCAGCAAAGGACCAGCTTAAACCAGCATCCCAGCGTCAAAACATACCGAACCAGCATATGTTGGTTTTTTCAACAGGGTTGTGTTGAAATAGATGGAATCCACAGGACTGTGCTAAAAGACAGAGTTAGAGTTATTCTTCTACAGCGCATGTTTTCCGAGAATGCGGTTGTAGTCCCCGTAAATAACTGTATTGTGTGAACGTAACTGTGTTAAGGACTCAAATACAGGATGGACAACCGTATTCTGCATATTCTGCTGCTGTGTGAATGTGGCTGTACATGCAGCAGTGATGATTTGAGTCTGTCATAGTCTTCTACAAGCAAAGCGATCACACAAACAATTACAGCACTTTCAGAACTTTGTTGTGTCGCTGTTCGTTTCCTATCAAATACCTTGAGTACAACATTAACAGCATGGTAAATAAAAAAGTAAGAATATATATATATATGTATGTATGTATATCCGTATATCAGACTATGTATGTCTGATGTCAATGGTGTGGTCAAAGATCATTTTCAACCATCGGGGTTGACAATAAAGTTGCATAGCCTATATATATATATATATATACTGTATATAATGTGTGTGTGAGAGAGAGAGTAAAATAGAAAAATTATGCCTGTAATTTCAAAGTGAAGGCTTATAATAAACCCTAAAGCACTCTCTCTTTTTTTCCCCTTCTTGAACAACCAGCCAATCAATCACAATCTTCAAAAGACTGTGTCATATGTAGTAACGGAGTCAGCCCCGCCTCCTCACTAAAATGAAAGTTTTTGTCTTTTCCTCGCATAGAGTTGCTCTCAGATTGGTCCTGAATTGCTCTTAAACTAAGACTCCTATGTAGACATTTTTAAGCTAAATTAGGAGCTCTCTGGGAGGATTCTTAGAATCTTTAAGAATACGGGCCCAGATCTTTTTGTATTTGCACCTTATTGTAATAAATATATTCACCTAAATTATTAGTGAGTACAAATACTGCTCTAGAAAATGACAACTTTTGTAAAGGATCAGTTTAGTGTGTGGTTTGTGTATGTTAGCAAATAATCTTAACGTTGGTCTACTTAACTCTTTGCACTTGACTAAATAGGCATTTGTTGTTAACAGAAAAAGTAGAAGAGGTTAAATTAAAATTAACTGGCCAATAATATATAATTAATTTAATTTTAGGTTCCACATCGATATTGAACATTTTCAGGTTGAATGATGCCATCTTGAGGTTGACAAATGATATTGTCTTGTGAAAAAAACCTATTGGTTCTATTTAAAAAATATTTTCAAATATTTCAGTTTGGTTTGTTTATTCACAGGACAGTAAAGAGTGACAGAAATTTACTAAAAAAGTGAAGTTAAATGGAATGCAGTACAGACTCAATCCTGTGTCACCCACACAGGGGTTAAAGCAAAAAAAATCCTGATCCTGAACTTTTTTCCGGGGTTTGCGGGGTCGGACATATACACAGGGTTATTTGACAAAAAAAAAAAAAAAAAAAACATTATTTGAAAATGATATTTTTCTTGAAACTAACTAGGGTTGGGTACCGAACTCTGTACTTTTAAGGGTACCGACCGACTGACCGAATTACAGGGCAAAAGAGAAAAATTTGTAGGGCCCTATTGTTCAAAATGTTGAAATTTAGACTTTTGGACTTATTTTTTCACTGAAATAAATGTTTTTGTAATTACACAGAGTAAAGTACCGAAAAAAAGCTACCGTTGGGTACCAGAACCGAAATACAGGTACCGATACCGGTACCGTACCGATTAAAATGTGGACGGTACCAAACCCTAAAACTAACTAGTAACATATCTGCCCTTGCCAGGCTCAGAATACAGATTATGGTGGGCTATTTGAAACAGCAATACCAGGAAAGGTTGCTCACTATAATGCAAACAACATGTAATATTTAGGATGCTTTTGATATCAATTTTTGCTGGTTAGATTTGTCCTTGACAGGGTACAAGATGACCTACAATTT